TCCAGGATCCATCTGCAACAGGCAGCAGAGGTATAACTGCACCAGGGGTGGCTTCCAACAATCCCAGCTTCAGACTCTTAAGCTCTTCCACATATCCTCCTGCCATGTCCCAGGGAATGCCACGCACTTTGTTGCACACTGTGCACTTGCCCTGCGTAATGTGGATGTGAGCCAGCTTGCCCATAATTGCTCTGTAGCATCCTCCTATTAAACAGAACAGAAATAGTTTATGGGGTATTGCAGAGATGCAGGATAACCCATTCTTCCATTCCCCTTTCTACATCCATGACATCTAGAGCCTTCCCTTCCTCACCCTAAACTGTCCTCTCTGCAACCTTCACAGCATGGACAACGTGAACTTCAGTTTAGTGGTCCCTTCAAATCTTTTACAGAACCCTTCTGTGCACTGGGAATTCACCGAAGGGATGTGATGCCCCTTGAACTGTCTGGTACTTTGGGTCAATTTTAAAGTGGCCCTCAAATCTAGGTCTGCAGGCCTATCTATACCATAAACCTCTATATTTGCCCTGAAGCAGTCCAGTTTGAAACTACCACGCTTCCAACACAGCCCAATTCCTCCCCGCCTGACTGCCTCTTCCTTCAGTTTGTTCAGTTTAGGCTGAAGGCTTAAGACTGGGAGGTCAGTGAGTGACCGTCCCACCAACTCCCTCATACTCCTCACTTATGACCCCTAGTTTTCTGGAACCTCTCCCTGCTGCCCATATGAAGAGACCAGCTGGAAAAAGAGCCACAGAATTCACACACTGCTTCTGAGGAGGCCTACTTTGCAGCTAAGAAGCACAAAATGTGGGCTGCTCTGCGGCGCATTAAGGAGAGAGATACAGATGGTGTAAGACAGCTCACGTGGTTCAGAATAATTGAGAGGGAACCTCAGGATAGACCTTACATATCAATGTAGACATATTATACTTCCTTTACAGATGGTGCACACCATGGCATATAGATGTACCAGAAGCTCTTCACCCCACAGAAGTAAAAGCTGCGTGCTTTCTAAATAAAAAACCCTCCACCACACAGCTAAAATGAAGCAATCAATAATCCTGCCACTAGGCCTATTTCTTGAGTTTGACAAGGTGCCTGCCTGATCAAAAAAAAAAAATAAAAATAAATTGTCTCTTTCTTAAATTATGGACACAAAGCAATTTCAGTTTTGCTGGGTACACACAGAGGACAGAGGATTCTCTCCATCCTTTCCGAATGAGACTGGGGGATATTTTGTTTTAATTAATTAAAGTCTGATGCTGCCACACTGCAATCAGAACAAGAAGTTCTGACTATATTATACTTTTCCCCCTTTTCTAAGCTCTTTCTGCTTTCTTGCTGCAAAATGCTTCTAGCTGTAAATTATTTCTGCATTTCAGATTTATACAGAAATATGTATAAACTAAATGAAGAAAAATGAAAATATATTCATGCAGCTGTTTCTGCCTATCACCTTTAATCTTTCATGCACTTTAAAATATGTGCTTCCCACAAAGGGAGAGAGAGATCTATTTTTGCTTTATGTGAATATAAAAGTAATTTGTTGCCATAGCAATATTTTTCCATCCAAATGCTCAGAACACCACAGTTGCTTCAGGTTTTGGGCAAACTGTAGCTATCCCAAAAAACCATGTAAAGCGTTATGCTTCAATAACCTCTTCAGTTCCATTATAATCACATCTTTCTGCTAGACATTATTAACCAAAAATAATTCAATACAGATGTTTATGTCTATACAAGCCTCCTCCCAGAGACCACTTTCAAAATCATTTGCTTGCATCTTGTTTAATTCAATTTGCATTAAATTTCTGCAGAATGGACTAAAAAAACACCCCACCAATCTCTATCCAGTGGGCCAAATTCTAAATCCCAGAGAAAGAGCGCACAAATCTAACGATGTTAATCCCCTGCACGTTGTACTTTCTTAAATTCCCCCCCCATCCCCTTGCATAGTGCTCTTTAGTAGGTTTCTCAGAGATGTTAGCCCTGTTCATTTCCATAGCAACCCTCTCCGCAGAGTGGAACAATTTGTTAAAATTGTTGGGGTTCAGCCTTTGAAAACAGCAATACTGCCACAAAGACTGGCACGAGCAGCCTCCCAGAGCTTGGGCTAGGAATCACAGAAGCAACATTTTTTTCACTTTAATTTTGACCCTGTCCTGGGAACAGCAACTTCCATGGCTCTGGGAGGACATCATGCAAGTTGGAACTATGGATTATGGCACAGTGTCTCACTGAAGCTGACTATGTATTCTTATTGCAGTATTACATTATGTTTAAATGCAAATAAAACAGAAACCAAATGAAACAAAATCCTCAAGATCTTAATAAAAAACCCCAAAAACCAGAACACACAGATGTTGGCAGCTTTCCACTTTCTTCCACCTACACCTCAGGAGCGGTTTCACAGCACAGGGGATTTGTGGAGATGGAGGCCGACAGCCCCAGCCCGCTGACAGCGCTCCTGGGCACGATGCCACGTTAAACTTCATCAAAACCTCCACACCGGCCACCTGGTGCTCATCTGTCCGGTGGAAGTTCTCCAGATGTGACCAAAGCTGAATCACTCCACACTTCATTTGGACAGGAAGGACTGTTTGTGTGCGAGTTGTTTTTTTAGTGTTTCTGACTGGATAGGAGTTGTGCATGTGTAATTGTCCTTGTTACCTTGCACACATTTTCACCAGCCCTTTACAGCTCATTTGTCTGTTTTGCTGCACACTTTCGCTACACACTCCAGAGCCTGTAAATCCTTTGGGGATATTTATTATACATCGCTCAGGGCCTGCTGAGCTTTTCTGTAAGACTACAATATAAACACTAAATAAACACGCATATTATAGTCCAGACATGCTCACACAGTATCTTATTTCTAAAAAAAAAAAATCTATTATATGCTTTCTTAATCCAGATGTAAATCATGATTTACTGTTGTATTAAATTGTCTCCATCTGTTTAAAGTGCACATGAAATGCAAAATGGTTTTTTTTTTTCCACTGTCACAGCCAACCTGAAATGTAACATGCACTTCTAATGCAACTGACTCCACTACAGACAGCCCTTCTTTTGTGCAGTCATTTGCACCGGCATTGTCTGAACGTGTCTTTTATATAGCAACACAGAGAGGGAAAGGAGATGGCACAAAACAGCAATGTAATTGCAAGCCCATGAAAAGTGATCAGGGAGTCTTCAACAGACAGATACTTGCAGCACATAAACTGCCGAAACATACTCGCCTTCAGGTGAAGTTTCATGGCTGGCTTAAGACTAACTAAATCAATATACTACTGCAAATAACCCAAGCCTTCTTGCCTTCCCTTTTGGCCCAGTCTGCAAGTTTCTGTCCACTCCCTTCTGCCAGCATTCTTCTCCTTGCCAAAGCAAGACTGGGAAATCGATCCAGCCAAAAGCGTTTTTGAGTTTTGCCAGGTTAGTCTTCAGTCAGATCAGTTTCCAGACCTGGCTGATCATGCAACCAGCCACGTAAACCCCAGTGCAGGAGTGAAATTACCCCTTTCAAGGGCATCACACACAGTGCAAACGGAGGTCAGTTAATCCCTGTTGTGAAAGAACACTCTTAACTGACGAGATTTCATATTGATAGTGTTCTCTAAGGGGTAATACACAAAATAACTATCAATCAGTATGTGTCAGGCAGTTTACTGCCAGAGGAAACAACTTACCGTAAACAATGCTTCTGCAAGGCAGGCGCATATTTAGATCACAATTTTACAGATAAGGAAAGAAATTGAACCACATTAACTTTTATCCCTAAGGTCAAAGAGAAAATGCATAAACCAGGATAGAAGGAGAGAACTCCTGCCTCTGAAGTCCTGCACCTTAACTACAAGGCTAGCTTTCTTTGTTATATGCACCTCTCTTTCATGTATGAGTGCATGCATATACACATATAGATTTATGTTTCATAACGAAATGTGTCTAACACTGTGAAAAAAAATATTTTTGTGGTCAAAACCAAAATAACGAATAATTTTATGAGCTCTACTAAGTTATAGGAGCAACAGGGAAAATTAACAAGTAGAACTATACATAGACTTCATTCTTAGTAGCAAGACTGTTAACTGGTTTTTACACCTTGGAATATGTAATAAAGAGCCATTCCATATTTTATACCGCTGACTTCCAAATCTGTTTTGAGATACTTCTTTTAAATGTGAAATTCAAATAATTTTGATTTACCAAGAATCCACAGGTGTTAGCAATATCATTGCATCAACGTATAGTGCTTATTACTATTATTTTATTGTTACGTTCAACTAAATGCCACTTGATAGGGAGGGAACATGAACTACTTTAAACACAATGATGAGCAGCTCTGGTTTTGCTTGTATCAACATCCTAGTTTTAGAAATGCCAGCTAACAATGAGCTTTATTGTACTGAATGGGATAGGTGATCAGGCACTGAACCATTTTCCTTCTTGCTGCCTACTTTCTCTCTGCAGTCAGGCAGTTCCACGTCTGGCAATACTCCAAAAGACATGGAGATTCATAAATGCAAATATGTATTAAATATGCAAACATTATGGATCAGTGTGCCCTGAAATATGCATGTTCTTAAAACATAGCAACATAGTTTCCTGATAATACGTAATGACATCTGACAGCTCATATTCTAAACAGATTTCCGTCTGGAAAGAAGAATTAGTGAGGAATACAAATAAAGGGATACAAGATAGTAAAATAAGTATGCTTACAGAAAGAAAGAAAATGCAAGGGCAAATATAAATCCCCTCTGTGCTGATCATGCTGCAGAAACTCCTGACCATGTTGCAGTACACGGTGCAGAAGGTCTGTTCCCCCAAATCTCATGGCAGAGGGCTTGGGAGAGGCTGGGAAAGGAGAGAGATGAACCTGGGAGCAGAGGTACGCCGATGAATCTGCAAGCATGCAGGCTTCCCAGCCAAAATCCTCTGGAAAGGAGGATGAAGCAACTGTAAAGGTACTCAAGGGGGGCGGATACACAACCCTCACAGACCTCTCCAATCCACGGCTCATTTATCATGCTTCAGGTCAGGGCTTTACCCTTCCTGGGGTCAGGGACTTGCTCCTCCTTTCGCGCAGCCAGGCATCCATCACAGCGGTGCAGTAAGCAGCTTCCCCAGCTGGAAATAACGTGCCAGAGAAAGATTTTATTTAAATAGGCAAAACACTGGGAGGGCCGTTCTCACTGTTGCCTAAAGGCCCTTTATACCACCCCGACAGCCAAGGGCAGGGATGTGGCATTAAGAGCCCGTGCAGAGAGGGCAGCTCTGTGTCGGACGGGTGTCAAAGCCACCCCTGTGTCCCAGCTCCTCCGGGAAGCCCGAGGAATGGCCAGACCACAGCCAGGGCAGAGCCACCCCCCCCAGAAACTCGCCCTGAGGGGCCTCACTCGAGAGGGCTCATGAAGGAGCCAAGTGCCCCGAGCAGCAGCCCCACCACCGCCCGCCGGACCCTCGGGGTGGCCCTGTCCCCTGCGGCCGGTTCCACCTCACGGAAACCAACCCTGAAGCCACGTTTACGCTCCTGGTTTATGCCAGAACCCAGGCCCCGCCTCACCCATGTGGGAGGCGGCCACCAGCCTGAATAAGACCCCCGCGGCCTTCGGGCCTCCCCGCGGGCCCAGCTCCAGGGGGGACGCCCCTTCCCAACACGGCCGGCGGGACGCCCAGCGCCTCCCGGCCCCTCCGCCGCCCCCGCCGCACACCCCTCGCCCTCCCCGCCTTCCCGGGCCCAGCGCGGCCCCCGAACACTTGCCCCGCCACCTCCTTCCTCCGGCGCCGCCACCGCCCGGCCCACAGGAGCGGCCCTCCCCGCCCCGGCCCGGGCGGCGCCCGCGCTCCCTCCCGGCTCCCCCGGGGAACGGCTCCCTTCCCTGGCTCGGCTGCTTGTCCTTCCATCTCCCTGTCCCTCCGTAAGGCAGAGGGAAGGAAAAAAACCTCGCCCGGGCCGTATCAAGGCGTCCCCTGGTCCAGGCTGTGGCTGGTGTGTGTCCCTGGGCTGGCCCGGAGGTCAGCGGCCCACCTGCAGCTGGACCTGAGCCCCCCAGCCTCTCCCAGTGCACCCCGACCTCAGTTCGTGTCAGTGGAAAGGTGGATGTTTGCCCAGGTTCACTCTACAATGGCCAAGAGTTTCCATAACTGCATATTTCAAAAGGGGGAGGAAAATCGGGACAGTTCTCTGACTTGCTCTGAGCAATACGAAGAAGGATGAAAGGTCACCAAAGTGGGTATAAAAGAGAAGGATCTGGGGCCATGGGAAGTACTGCCATGGGGGGGACAAAAAGCTTCCCCTCAGACCAGACACATCTTATGAGATAAAAGGAATAAGGAGTTGCATCTAGCTCTCCCCAGCTCTGACCTCTAGTCAGCGTTTCACTGCTGACTTGCTGCACAAAACTGCTGTGAATCATTGCATTTCTACTTGGGTTTTGTTCCCTTCCAAATAGCGATAAAGCGGTTTGCCGTCCTGTGAGGTGGTCCAGCTTCCATGGAAGAAAAGTGGTATATATGAGTCCTCTTGTTACTTAATGTGTGAATTCTGCCAGTCCAGGCAAAGTCCATCCATTTAGGACAAGAGGAAACGGCCTCAAGTTGCGCCAGGGCAGGTTTAGGGTGGATATTAGGAAAAGTTTTTTCACCAAAGGGGTTATCAAACATTGGAACAGGCTGCCCAGGGAAGTAATTGAATCGCCAACCCTGTAGGTATTTAAAAGGCGGGTAAACGTGGTGCTTAGGGACGTGGTTTAGTGATGATTTTTGTCAGTGTTAGGTTGATGGTTGGACTCAATGATCCTGAAGTTCTTTTCCAGCCTAGACAATTCTATGATTCTATGAGTCTATCATTTTGGTTTGTATTTGTACAGCACCTGATGCAGCGTGAATCCTTTTCTACTAGGGTTTGCAGGCAACTTGCAGAAGTACATTGAGTTAATTATAGGCATGCATGAATGCATGAGGAAAAATATCTTTTAGAAATAAAAGTAAAAAAAAATTTTCTGGAAGAGTGTCTCCTGAGGCAGCCGATTTGCATCAAAAACCTTCAACACTAACTGAAAGAAAAACGAGAGCAAACACAGTATCTAAATGAAAAATATAAACTCTCCAAACAAATATAGTTTCTGTATGAAATGTTCAAATCGTCGTCTTCCTTACAGAGCTACACAAACATACTAAAGACAGATTATCTTTTAATTTCAGCATTTGTTCAATTAATTACTTGGTATACTGCAGAAAAAACCAAGAGATAGCCAGTTAAAATCCCAATACTATAAATACATGCATGTGAGGGTTTTCTCATTTAGAAAGTTCAGGTGACCCATTTGTATTTGAAGAAGTTAGGGATAAAACGTGAGTTCCTGATCATGCTGATTCTGCAAATCCTTGCCTAGATGAAAGATGCCTTCACTCATCTGAAATAGGGTTTCTGTTCATGTTTTCCTCCCTCCCTCCCTCCCTTCCTTCCTTCCTTCCTTCCTTCCTTCCTTCCTTCCTTCCTTCCTTCCTTCCTTCCTTCCACAGCTCTACACAATTCCACCTCCCAGAGGCATCCCATTTGGTACCTCTCAATCAGCCTCTCTCTCTAGAAGGAGGAGGACCATGGGGGGATGATAAGGATGAGAGCTGGAAGTAATGAAGAGCCTGCCTGGGTGAGGTCCTCAGTGGGAGAGAAGGAAAATGCTAGAAAATGTGCCTGTAGGGAAAGCTCTTTGCAAGCATTTTGAATTTACCCACTGTGCAGGTCCTTAGCCAGGAAATAAAAAATTACAGGGGACTATGGGTTGGAAGCGCTTTTAATTCAACATAAAAAATGGACATCATGGTCCTCCCCCTTCTCCACCCTCTCTCCTGAAGGCACAGGATGAGCAGAGGAATGAATATAACTAGCACAGTTTTATACCCCAGGCAAATCTGCAACCTGAAAATGTAATGCAAATTTCTACTCATTTCAAAGCATATTTTTAATGCTTGTTTATATTTTTATTTGTATTTTCTCCTCTGACATTCAAAGCTCTTGAGGAATACTTCTCAGAAATTTACCAGAAATAGATCTGGAAGGAGGAGGATGTTGTTAGCACTGGAATATTGGTTGAGTGTCCTTAAGACAAAAATGTTAGCTTCCATAAGAACGTACAACGATATGTCCCACTTCAAGACAGAGTTTTGGTTCAGACACCTAAAGATATGTTCAAGCAGGCGTAGCCCACCTGAACTCAATTAGATAGCAATCTTTCCAATAAATAGAATTACTAGTATTACAAATTTAGCAGCATGACACAGATTGGCATATATTAAACCTGTTTATATAATCCACAAATAACTGTCATAAATTTTTAAAGAAATCTTTCTTGTCCTTCATTTTATAAACCTGCTTTCTACATTGCACTGGCATTTCCAGAGAGATTTTTCAAAGCAGTGTTCCCAGCTATATGGTTAGTTATATGATAGACAGCTTTAAGTCTTTTCTTGAAATACCTTTTTGCATCCTGGACACCTTACAGGATGTTTTTCAGAAGCCAGGTAGGAGTTAGCTGTAGCAAGTTCATTCTGTTATGCACTTCATAGATCATTCTTTTCATGCACCATCATGCACTTAATTCCCTACATGCATCACCCAGGGCATTAAATCAGATTTATGTAGAACACAAAATGCTCCCATCTCTTGCTTTCCTAGTTGCCTCAGAAAATTTCCATCATGTTTTAAGAAAAATGAATCCATGCTGTGAAAAAATGCTGGAACAAGGAAACTCTATTTATTATTGCTAATTAATTTGGATATCTGCAGGCATATACGTGTAAGGCAGTGAATGAGTATAAGCTTGACTCTTTGCAAGCATATAGTATTAAAAGCTGAGCGTGCATGGGCAAGACAACTCATTTCCTAAAGTCGGTAAATAATGCCTCTGTTGAAACAGAAATGCTCCATCAAATAACAAAACATTGGCAATAACAGAATGTTACTGACACTGTCTATGTTTTTGCATTTATTGCAAAACGCTTTTAAAATGGGGCTTCCTTCCTTCCTTCCTTCCTTCCTTCCTTCCTTCCTTCCTTCCTTCCTTCCTTCCTTCCTTCCTTCCTTCCTTTTTTGTCTTTTTCTTTCATTCTTTTCTCTAAATCTGTTTATTGTTTTTTCCAGAACTTTTTTTTCTTTAATTTCTGTTCTTGGAGGATTCATCAGCATTTGCTTTGGCTGTAGTTTTGTTTACACAGATAGAGAAGGCTTATCCACATAAAAGGAACAGCCTAACATGCCAAATTTCAGTGGAAGTGGACTTTTGTTCCTCATCTGCTGCTGTTTGTAAGCAATAAATAAAAATATGCTGATCTTGCTTTTGGGAGAGGTCAGTGGGAACCAGTGTTTGTCATCACCAGTCCACTGTGACTAACACTTAAGAATGGCAATCTAGTCCTAAGCATCCCAGTTATTTTTCTAGTTAGCTGCACGTCGGAGAGCCTCCAAAGGTATCCCTCCCCAGCTAAGTTACCTAAGAGCAGAAATTACCTCCTTCCAGATCTGGCCTAATCCTTTTTAATCTTGCTTTAAAGGCTGATAATTTTTTACTTTCACATGGCTGCCCTCCACTCTGCTCTTTTTCATCTCCTCGCCAGTAAATAAACTTCTCTGTCAGTACCACAGCTTGCTTAGAGATTTGCAAAAGCAGAACTTTGTTTTCTTCAGCCTCCAATGGTCTTTAAGAAGTGGCTGCTCATTTATACGCCAACCCCTCTTAAAGCATGAGGGCAAATCCTCTGGGTACATGAGCAGAGCTCATTAAATTCAGTAGAACCATGGCTCTGAGTCACCCAGAAGTCAGCTGTACACAGCTGTCCAACCCAGGAATTCACAAACAAAACAATCTAGTAAAAAATGAATTGGTAAAAAAAAATCTTTAAGGATGTGTCATCACATATCTTGCAAATGCTTTGCATTTCCTTTATATATATTATTTGACTTTAAAGGTTTCAGGAGCGGAAAGTCCTACAGCATTACAATAGGAAATTAAACTAAGGATCCTGTCATTTCTCTACTGACATGCAGTCTTTTATTTTTCATTATGAACACTGTCTAGCCCGTGATTATGCTGACCTCTTAGTTCCTTTGGCTGTGCACTTCTGCCCTTATTCTATAAGGCACCCAATTTACCATAAATTGGATATTAAGAGAATAAATTATTAATATATTTGTAACCTGGATCACAATTAAAAAGCAGGTCAAGTATGCAACTTGGATGGCTGGAAAAACTGTTTTCAGTGGTGTATTTACATCTTACAGCAGTGACCAAAAAGATATAAAGGTATACAATATATTTCCCTGACATTTTTTTACTGATATGGGACTTGTTTTGCAGGAGAAAGAGAAGGAAAACCTCAGGAATTTGGGAAAGATGGTTGTAAGGATTTATTGGTTAAGAACTAAAATCAAAGCCCCTTTCAGACTGTCAGGGAACTCCTATTAACTTCTGATTTTTTTTTTTTTTTTCTCAGAACATCATATAAAACATTACTACAAATATGTAGTACACTGTAAGAAATAGTACAACAGAGCCAGCTTCTTATCACTGTTGATGCTGGAAGCTAAAAGGAAACAAATGAAGTAACTGGAGATGCTGAGCTTGGGAATCAAATGGCTCCCACAAGGTATCTTGATAT